TGAAAAAACAATACCAAACCCCACCGTACCTGAGTGTTTCAAAATAGGGTGAAGAAATGGTTAGAAGAAATATGTAGGATCAAAATAGAATATAGACCGGAGTTTTTTCTGTTAGGGATTAATGTGGGGGAAATATGATAAGGATAACATATATTTAATAATTCATATAATTACAGCTGCGAGATTGGCTTATGCACAACTATGGAAAGGTAAAGAAACTCCAAATGAATTGGAAATAATTAGGAAAATTTGGATCTGCGCAGAAATGGACCAACTGACAAAGAAATTAAAAAATAAGGATAAATCGGATTATTGCAAAGTATGGGCTAAGTTTTATGGTTGGTTAGAAAAGAGGAAGGATCAAGACAATAAGAAATGATTAACTGCATATATATATATGTATATATACTCTATATAGAATATAAATTAAATGTAAATATGTATTATTTTATGTGTGATTAAGCAACGTAAGACAAATATGTGGGTTAGGAGGATTGTACCATGTTCAGTGTTTTTAATATAGGGCGTTTTGAATCCAAGAATGTTTGGAACTCAAAAGTGGTGTAAAAAGTATGTCTTTTTGAACAAAAGGGCCTTTTTTTTCCTACCAGGAAATTCTAAATTGTAAGGTTGCCTTAAAGCTTCAGAAATTTTCTTCTGATTAATGCAATTAATTATGAAAATATTTCTAGTCATTCAGTTCTTTGCGTCCATTCCAGTGTGTATATTTCAATATCTGTGGACGTCTTCAAGCCCTTATCCTGCCTTGTCTCCTTAATGGCTTCAGTGTGCTTTGTGCTGTTGTTTTTCCTATTTATAATTTATAAATTTATTTGCCTATTTATAATTTATTTGCCTTTAGTTTAAAGGCATTGCCTCCTTTTTGTAACTGTTTGTGGGGGAGTTTTTTGTCCCCAGTCAAGGATATTTGGAGCTTTGAAGCCAAGTTGAAGGAATTAAACGGACTTCACCTGTTTTTGTGACTTTGTTGATTTTGTATCCTACCATGGGTCATCACAGTGTGTGTGTGTGTGTGTATAAATAAAAGAAATTGTCTTCGTGAATACTGTATGTAAGTAAAATACAGGTAATTCTAGACTCAAATCCATTTGTTGAGTAATGGCATTGAAAAAAAAGTTATTGATCAATTTTTCACACTTACGACCAATTGCAAGCATTCCCCCGTGGTCACGTGATCAAAATTCAGATGCTCGGCAACTGGCATGTACTTATGACTGTTTCAGCATCCCAGGGGTCACGTGATCCCCTTTTGCAACCTTCTGACAAGCAATTCAATGGGGAAAAATCCAGAATCACTGAACAACCTTGTGACCAATTTGACAACTGCACTGCAACGATTTACTTAACAACCGCGGCGAGAAAAGGTCGTAAAAAGGGGCAAAGCTCATTTAGCAAATCTTTCATTTAGCAACAACATAAATCCGGGGCTCAATTGCGGTCGTAAGTTGAAGCCTACCTGCGCAGGTAGACCTCACTTAGCAACCGTCTGAAGATACCACAGCGTGACTTACAATCGATCCTCGCACTTATGACGGTTGCAGCACCCCCTGTGGTCACCTGATTAAATTTTGGATGTCTAGCCTGACAGATGTATGACGATTGCAACTTTTGGGATCCTGTGATTTCCATTTGTGACTTTCCCAGCCGGCGTCTGACGAACAAAGTTGACAGGGTATAAGCTGGATTCGCTTAAGGACCGCATGATTCACTTAACGAATGCAGTGATTTGCTTAACAATCATGGGCAAAAAAAGATCATAAAACCAGGCACAAGTCACTTAATGATCGCCTTTCTTGGCAAACGAACTTCTGGTCCCAATGGTCGTTGTAAGTCAAGGACTAAGTCATAAATTACATTCAAATTTCTGGTCTTTTGCATTTCTAAAGGAAGGAAATTTATTCCTTCATTATTTTCTCTCCCACGGTACCAAAAAAGGAAAGTAGAATATATATAAAAGCTTTTTAAAAATTCACCAACTTCCCAAGGACTGAAAATTTGTCCCATTTGTTCTCTGTACCATGGTTTTATTCTGCTTCAGCAGGTGCTGCTGGCATTGTATTACTTCGTTTTGCATTAAAGAATAATTTGGCTTTAAAAAAAACTCAATAGTTAAGCTGAAAGGGAAGTTTCTCAGGTGAAAAGTCGAACAAAGAAAACTAGATAAATTAAGAAATGTTACCTCGATCTGTACTTTTGTCTTCATTTTCACTTCCCACACCATATTAATTAAGAAGAGATGATGGAATAAACGCACCAAATGTTTTTTGGGAATACAGGTAGTCCTTGACTTACAACGGTAATTGGGCCCTGTTGCTAAGCAAAACATTTGTTAAGTGACTGACGGGCTCCGTAGCAAACTCAAACCCAACGCTAACCTTACCTGGCTTTTAGCCTTTCTTGTCAGATAAGAGTATTTCCTGTTTGCTGATCTATGAATAAACCATCACTGTACTACAAAGGAGCTAGAGTTTGTATTCCTTTTAGGACAAACCTTCAATACTCAAGGACTGGCTGAGAGTGATTTTGTCACGTTTTACGACCTTTCCTGTCACAGCTGTTAAGCGAATCACTGCAGTTCTTCAGTTAATAACACCCTTGTCTTATACACCCAATAAAATTGTTTTCTTTCTGTGTTGTTCAAGAAGTGAGGGGAGCCGAATGTCAAGTCATAAAATATTTCAATGGTCTTTTCAGAGTTGCCAACAGAAAGGGAGGGAGGGAGCAGTGGGGCAGCTTGGAAATTGAAAGCACATTCCATAAATGGTTTTTCAAAAATAGTAACTAGGTGACTGAAGTTTCTGCCGTGCAAAATTCTAACTGGAGAGCATGATTGATGACTCTGGAATATGGAGGTGTCCCATTGGAGAATATGAATTACGATACATCCAGGGGGTGGAGGGAAAACCAGGGTCAAGGGTGACAAGGAATTATGTGTCTCAGAGTCGGCTACACCCAGGCAGCGCCGGACATGTTAACTCCCAATAAATCCTTTGAAGTTTTGGAAGTTTGGCTTGTGACTCATGATTTAAATTGCGGGGTAACTGGGGACACCGGCTTCCTCATTGACTTTGCTCATAAGACGGTCACAAAAGGGAATCACTTGACTCCAAGACACTATAACTGTCATAAATGCGAGTCGGTCGCCAAACATCTGAATTTTGACCACGGGAGCTGCTGCAATGGTCGTAAGGATGAAAAACGGTCCTGAATCACTTTTTTTCAGAGCCGTCATAGCTTTGAATGAATGAACTGTATTAACCCCAGCATCTAATATTTATCTGAGAAGATTCTTGGCCACGCAGGCGATCCAATTCATGTGCAGGGAAGGAACAGAGTCACAGAGGAGTTGCAAGGGACCTTGGAGGTCATCTAGTCCAACCCCCTGCTCAGGCAGGAAACCCTATCCCATTTCAGGCAACGGTTGTCCCATCTCTTCTTAAAAACCTCCCGCACAACCTCTGGAGACTGAAGTTGTAACCCCAAGTAGTTCTCCCGAGTCCTAGAAAATTACCGATTTTCCAAGGACTTGGAAGAACCAGTTCCTTAGACGGACCAACTACTTTAACACCCTTTTCAAAAAAGACAATAAAAGCTAAGAAGAAAATTTAAAAAAAAAACAGCCTCTCCAGCAGCCAACAGACAGATAAGCAAGAATTAACGCCAGACAAACAGTCAAGCAGAAAACAATACAAGAAAACTACCAACTCAGACGAAGGGTAAACAACAGCCTATTCAAGGAACCACCAGATTATTCCTACCAACACTAACAAGGCATATAAAAAGAGACCAAACCCCACTCCCTTCTAGCGCTGATGATGTTATCTAGTTGGGTAATGAAACGTCCGAAAGCAAATAACCAAGCTCAGAGAGCACCAAGGAGAGTTAAAATTCATTTGATCAAGCCATTCCCTAACTAAGTAGTTCCTTAAGGAGGAAACTATTAAGGGAAAAAACCCACATCCTCACAAACACTGGCAGGACAAGCTACTGCATTTAAGCAGGGAGCAAACCCCTCTCCGTTCTAACATTGATGATGTTATCTAGTTGGGTAATAAAACGTCTGCAGGGAAACAACCAAGTTCAGAGAGCACCAAGGTCCCCAAAGTCCTCCCCTTCCTCTTACCCCATTTTTCCTCCACCCTGCACACCTCACCCCACTCCCTTCTAGCACTGATAATGTTACCTAGTTGGGTCATGAGACGTCTGCAAAAAAAACCCATCCAGCTCAGAGAGGACGAAGAGCCCCACGGTTCAACCCCAATGTACGGCTATTCTCTTCTAACAGAATGCCAAGTTATTAATATGGGACCATGGGTGCAAAACCTAAACCCTCTTTGATATTCAGCCTCTTGGGGGGATGTTACTCTGTCATAAATTCTATCACAGGAATGTTTTGTACTCTTGAATGCGCTATGAAGGGATTATAAACTCTCAAACTAGAAAATTAAGCCCTTCTGTATAACTACTACATTGTTTCATTGCTTTTCTTTTTTTCTTTCTTTCTTTCTTTCTTTCTTTCTTTCTTTCTTTCTTTCTTTCTTTCCTTTCTTTCTTTTCCTTCTTTCTTTTTCTTTCTTTCTCAAGAATACAGCTCAAAGCAGCATCCCCAGGTCTCTAAGTGAGACGTCCCAGCGGCTAATTTTCTTTTTAAACTGCCACCTAGTCACTACTCATTTAGTAGCTTGAAATAAAATACCCACCGTCCTTAAATCTTGCACAAGTAGTCCTCAACCTACGTCCACAATTGGAACCAGCATTCCTGTTACTAAACAAAGCCGTTGTCAGCTATTAAATCTCCTATATCTTAACACTATTGCTTAGTAACAGAAGTTTTGGGCTCATTTCTACCTGTATAAACCTTCCACTAATGCAGTAAACCAAACAGATAAGGAGATTTATTTCTGCGATAGAAGATTCGTAATTCTGCTGGCACCAAAATGTTCCGGTCATTCTTTCAGATAAACTTTTGAAAGACTCACATGATACAGAGCCACGATTGCTGATACTGGATACCGGTGACTGTGGCCGTCACACCCTGAATTGTGTCCGACAAAAGGTGAACTATCCAAAAGACAAGAGAGAGAGAGAGAGAGAGAGAGAGAGAGAGAGAGAGAGAGAGAACACATTTTGATTTATCTATATATATATAAAAGTGAAATTACCACTCAGGCATCATCACAAAATCTCCAGAACTGTCAAGCCTACAACCTTGAAATTTGGCATGTATATTCCTCTTGGCTTCTAGGGGCTCAATAAGAAAGGTTTTTTTTGAAATGACCATCAGAGCATTATTATTATTATTATTATTATTATTATGATGATGATGATGATGATGATGATGATGCTCTGATGCTAAGGAGTCCTACTCCCCCTCCCCACCTGAAAAGAAATCTCTTCCAAATGCAAAACACAGGCAGAGGAGTTTCAGTTTTAGTTTCAGAGCACCAAACAGCTTTAGTACAGAACAGTTGAGCTAAGCCCTGCCCAGGCGCCTTGCTGTCTCCTTCTTGCTCACACAGCAATACTGTTTTAGTTTCCAAACAGCCCTCAACTCTCTCACACACTGACAGGACGCTAGCCAGGTGAATACCAATGGATGCTGTGAGGCAGAGGCAGAGTTTTTTTTCTCTCTCCTTATTTTCCTCCCCCAAAACTAAGCCCCACCACAAGTTTCGAGCGAAGCACGGAGACCCAGCTACTTTTTACATATACAGATGCACTTTCGTTCGGCCGACGTTTGCAAGAATGCTAGTATCTACAGCCAAACCTCGACTTACAACAGTTCATTTAGTGACCGTTCGAACTTACAACGGCACTGAAAAAAGTGTTTGATATCCTTTTTTCCCACGCTTACGACCGTGGCGGTATTCTCCCCCCCCCAACAGTCACGTGATTTACATTCGGATGCTTGACAGCTGACTCGCATTTATGATGGGTTGCAGCGGCGAGGGGGTGTTTACATGATTGACCTTTTGATGAGGACAGTCGATGGGGAAAAGCCCGACTCACTTAACAACTGGGTGACTCATTTAACAAACGGCATCAATTCCCTTAACGAAGGTGGCGAGGAAAGTCGTACAACGGGGCAAAACTCACTGCATAAATGCCTCACTTAACAACATACGCGCTGGGCTCAATTCTGGTCATTAACTTGGGGACTTCCTGTATTGCGGGGTACAGAAAATTCAGTTTTCTATATTCAGTTTTATGTTTCCCTCCAGTGGCCAAATCACAAAAAGGATGTCTCATTTATTCTGTCCAGGCAATGTGGGGGAATTCTCTGGAGCCGGCAATTACGGTTAGTCCTTGACTTACGAGCACAACTGAGCCCCACATTTCTGTCACTAAGCGAGACATTGAAGGGAATTCCCCAATTTTACGGTATTTCTTGACACAGGTGTTAAGTCAATCAGTGCAGCGGTTAAATTGGTCACATGGTTGAGAAGTGAATCTGGCTTCTCCATTGACGTTACAGATTTACAGAGTTGGAAAGGACCTTGTAGGTCATCTAGTCCAACCCCCCGGCTGAGCAGGAGACCCTACACCATTTCTGACAGATAGTCCAATCTCTTCTTGAAAGCCTCAAGTGATGAAGCTCCCACAACTTCCGAGGGCAACTTCTGTTCCATGGGTTGATTGTTCTCACTGTCAGAAAGTTTATCCTTATTTCCAGGTTGAATCTCTCCTTGGTCAGTTTCCATCCATTATTCCTTGTTTGGCCTTCGGGTGCTTTGGAGAATAGCTTGACCCCCTTCTCCTCTCTGTGGCAGCCCCTCAAATATTGGAAGATGCTGTCCTGTCTCCCCCGGTCCTTCTCTTCCTTAGACTAGCCAGGCCCAGTTCCTGCAACCGTTCTTCATTATGTTTAGTCTCTAATCATCCTGGTTGCTCTTCTCTGCACTTTTTCTATTTTCCTTGTCAGAAGGTCTCAAAAGGGGATCGTGTGACACGGGAACGCTGCGACTGTCGTATATGTGAGTCAGCTGTCAAGCATCCAAATATAAATCCCGTGATCACGAGAATGCTGCAACTGTTATGTGAAAAACGATCGGAAATCACTTTTTTTTTCCAGTGCTGTTGTAACTTTGAGCCAGTCGCTAAATGAACTGTCGTAAATTGAGAACTATCTGTATAAGAATTCCTCCCCTGGGAATGGGGGTTGAAGACCTCAAAGGTTGCTTCTACCCCTAGGATAATGTTTTCTACAGTTAGTCATCAACTTACAACTGAGCCGAGCATTTATGTGGCTAAGTGAACATTCGTTGGGTTTTGCCGCATTTCACGACATTTCTTCGCATGGTTATTAAGTGAATCTCCACAGTTCATAAGCTAGTAACCTGGTTGTTAAGTGAACCTGGCATTGACTTAGCACGCCAGAAGGTTGCCAATGTAGCCACATAACCCCAACCGTCATAAGTATGAACCAGTTGCCAAGCACCTGAATTTTGACCACAGGATCTTGGGGGATGCTGCAAAGGTTGTAACTTCGAAAAACGTTCTCAGGTCCCTTTGTTTTCAGTGCCGTTGTACTTTTGAACGGTCACTAAGTGAACTGTTGTAAGTCAGGGACTATTCCGCGTAAATTAAGGAGCAAGGTAATGCTAGGATCAAGCTGTAAGCATTTTCCAATGTTACAGAGGGAGACTACTATGGATTGGGGAGGGGGTACCCAGAACATCAGTTATGCCCCTTGTCGGAGTCTGAATCCGAGGAGGAAGTCAAACCGCTGACAGGGAGCGGGGAGTGAGGCTCCGTTGGCTGTGGAGGAAACTGGGGAAGGGCACAGTCTGGTTGGGCAGAGCAGGGGAGAGGGAGAACAAGGGAGAGGGAGTTCAGAGGAAGACCCAGGCCCACCCCCTCTTCATCCTAGCAGGGAGGAACGGAAAAGGGAGCAACGTGTGTTGCATGGCTTACGGGGGAGGAAAGGGCCCCGATTCCCTTCATTACCCACACCTGGGAATGAGACTTTAAAAGGGATGCAAGCTGAGAGCGGCAGTTGCTGGGAACAAACGTGAGTTTATCTTGTGTTGACTTTGCTTATCTGTGTTCCTAGCATCCTCCCAACCGTGTTGAGTTACTGCCGTTCCTTCACGTCTGGAATTCCTTCTCCTGCCCTGCTGGACTAATGACCTCATCTTGCCTTGATTGGACTTATAGTTGCAGTTTATGTTGACCATGTTTTGGACTTGATTCTCTGCAGCCAAAGGCTGTTCCTGGGAGAGTTTTTCTCCAGCCCAGAAGGTAACCAGGACATTGGGGGCAAAGTTGGAGCTAATAAAGGGACTCCTACGGATTATCTGGCTGTGTGGCCTTTGTGCCGCGCCCCTAGTCAGACGAGAAGCAACTGTACCATTGCCCTCCCGAGGCGTCCCTGAATCGGTGAATAAAGTGCTCATAATTTTGTCAAAGTTGCAGCTTGGCTCGGTGTTGTCCGAGTCTTCAGAGAAGTGTTTTAACATCTCCCGCAAAACGTCATCCAGAGAAGTGGCCGTCTCGTCCAGAATGATGCTCGCTCTGGCCAGGAAGCCGTCCAGATCACGGTGGGCTCTGACCTCCTCTTCAAAATTCTTTAATTTTAGGTACTGCGAGAAAAGAAAAGAAAAACAGAAAAACGAGGGGATGTTTTTCTCTGGGACGAGCCACAACTCAGGAAAAACACATTTCCCTTGTCCCCCCGGGGTGAGTGCGAACACAGTGACTCATCTACACTATTTATTTATTAAATTCACCTCACCATCGAGCGGCAACTAATTTATTTATTTATAAAATATATTGGCTGCCCGTCTCACCGTAAGGGGAAGTCTGGGCGGCTTACAGACATAAAAATGTAATCTGGCATTATTAAAACATGAGTAAATTAAAAGCAAAGATATAAAACCAAAGACACATGTACAAGCCGTTCAAAATTTACAACCGCAATTAGGGAATGAAATCTTCTGGTTACAGTCATTAAGCCGTCTCGAAGGCCAGTAAGCGAGAGTCCTTAACTTACGACATAGAGCAGTGGTGGCTAACCTTTTGGGGCTCCCGTGCCAAAGGCAATGTGTCCTGCCCCTCTGGCCATGTGTGCGCAACACCCCCCGCGCCCCCTTACCTGCACTGCGCATGCGCGCACCTCCCCACTGATTTTCAGCCTGTTTGAGGCCTTTTTCAGCCTCCTGGAGGCTCGAGAGAAGCCTTATAGCCTTGGGAGGCCGAAAAACAGGCTTTCTGGAAATACTGGAAGTGCCTAAACGGACCCTTTTTTCGGCCTCCCGAGGCTGCAGAGGCTTCCTTTGAGCCTCCAGGCGGGCGAAAACGGCCTCAAACAGGCCGAAAATCAGCTGGGAGGCAAGTGTATGTGCAGTGCAGGTAAGTTTGGCTGGGGCTCGTGTGCCATCACAGGTATAGAACATTATTACAGGTAGAACTGGAGTTACAACAGTTCACTTAGCAACGGTGCGAAGTTACGAGGGCATTGGAAAAAAAGAGATTGACCATATTTCACACTTAACTGACCATGGCAGCATTCCCCACGGTCACGTGATTTACATTTGGGTATTTGACCACTGACTCACATTTATGACGACGGCAGTGTCCGGCGGTCATGCGATCCCCTTTTAACAACGGTGTGTCTAACTTAACAACCGCACCGGTTGACACAAGAGATGTGGCAAGGAAAGTCGGAGAGTGGGGCAAAACTCCCTTAACCAAGATTTCTCTTCGCGACATAAATTTCGGCCTCCGTTGTGGTGGTAACTCAAGGGCTATCTAAACCCTACCTAAACCCTAAAAGTTGTTTTTCTCAACTTTGGCAGGATGGGTGGGTTACAACGCCGGGAATTCCCCAGATTGCCTTTGCCCGTGCCCATAATTTTTATAATCGACCTTTAGCCTCTGCACGACGACATCAAGGCCAATAAAAAAAAAAAAACCCAATCGGGATTTTACGGTGCTTCCTTCTCCACCCAACTTTGATGGTGCGCCCCACGAAAGAGGTGAATTGCAAGATTTTGCACATCCTTTGGGCCTTCCTTCCGCGGAAGGAAGGGCCACGAGCGATGTCAGAAGTCAGCGAAGCCATCAAAAGCTCGGCTGGAAGCGAAGGGTGGAAGTGCCAATGAGGTTAACTCTTTCGTCGGTCCGGTTGGAAAACTGGCACCGGCATCCGTCCAGCAGGAAATGGGACTTTCCTTTAGAATCGTTTTATAGTTCTCCACGCACTACTCAAATTCGTCCAAGGGAACAGATGTGACTGTGCCGCTATAGAAGAGCAACCCATAAATGAGAAAACGTGCATTGAGGTGGCAGGATGTGGCTTCAAAATCTTTGATTAAAGGTTATGGGTATTACCGCGCATTGAGGGCGCAGTAGGGTGTCCGGCTGTTTATATCCCGTGGCTCGGACTTCTCAAACCTGGGACCTTCTGAACGGGACTACTAGGGTTTCATGTCTCCATGCCGAGCAGGGACAACTATTTCGAGTGAGGAACATTTGGGAGTGTCACATGACTTGTGCAGAGGTGTTATTCAGCCGGTTCGCGCCGGTTCTGGAAAACCAATAGCGGAAATTCGGAATAGTTCGGAGAACCGGCCAATCCCACCTCTGACTGGCCCCACCAACCTCCATCTCTTCTCTGCCTCCCTTTGAGTCCCAGCTGATCGGCTGGGTCTCTTTTGGTTGCCCTGCACAGGAGAAGGGAGCTGGAAAGCAGGTTAGTGGGGTGGGGAGGGAAGGGAAGGGGGATTTTGCAGTATACCCTTCCCCTGCCACGCCCACCATGCCACGGCCACCAAACTGGTAGTAAAAAAATTTGAATCCCACCACTGGATAAATAGATGGATAGACAGATAGATGGATGGATGGATATATATAATTTCAGACAATGACTTTCCAAGTCTCTTCTTAAAAGCCTCCAGTGATGAAGAACCCACATCTTCTGGAAATAAATTGTTCCACTGTTTAATTGTTCTAATTGTTAGGAAGTTTCTCCTGAATTCCAGGGTTGCTTCTCTCCTTGATTAGTTTCCAACCGTTGTTTCCAACCCAATCCAGGTAGTCCTAGGCTTACGACCACCATTGAACTCAACATTTATGTCGCTAAGCGAGACAGGTGTTCAGTGAGTCTTTGCCCCGTGAGACAATCTTTCTTGCCACCAAGTGAATCTCTGCAGTTGTTGACTTAGGAACACGGTTGTTAAGTGAATCCCCATTGACGCTGCTTGTCAGAAAGGTTGCAGAAGGGAGACCCCAGAACTCTGGCACGCTGCAACCGTCATAAATATGAGTCAGTTGCCAAGCGTCTGAATTTTGATCACGTGACCACGGAGATGCTACAGGGGTCATCAGTGGGAAAAAACGGCCATAAGTCACTTTTTTTCAGGGCTGTCGTAACTTCGGTCATTAAGCAAAATGTTGAGGAAGATGACTTACGCCATTTTCACCACCACCATTTTTCAGAGACCTGCAATATTAATTTTTCAGGTTTGTGAGGCAATCGGAGGTCATCCAGATGTGCTGTCAATTCTATTGGCTGAAATGGAAGGAGGTTCCGTGCTTCCTAAATTCATTCAAGGTGTTTCCAGACCAGGCCACAATATCATAAACTAAAATTATTAAAAGTGTGTGTGTGTGTGCGTGTGCGTGTGCGTGTGTGTGTGTAAAAGAAGAAACAGACATCCTGCGATATCTCCGGAACTTAAAATTATTAAGCCTCCGTCTGCCTCTACCCACATTGTCAGAGTATTAAGCTACCATTACAGAGATCTTTGCCTTTATATATCATTAATCAATTAAGGTCCAGAAATCGCAGGATGTCTGTTTCTTCTTTTACAAATATACCTGGAACTCATATTTTTAGAATAGTTTGTAATATATATATACACGGGTACAGGTATGCAGGTCTTGGTGTGTTCGGGTCTTTTCCCATGTAAGATTGAGAGCATCTTGGTAATCTATCATCTATGTTTATCTATCTATATCTATCTATCTATCTATCTATCTATCTATCTACCTACCTACCTACCTACCTACCTACACACACATACACACACATACATACATACATATATTACACCGGAGACAAGTTCAGAGGTTAAGATAAAAAGATAACTCGAGGACCACAAAACCTGATCCCAGCTGGCCTGTTATGAAGACCACAACTGACAAAACGTGAAGCTGAGGTCTATGTTTTTGGAAATACTACAAAGCCCTTGATTAATACATATATAGGGGGGCAGGTAAGTATGTATATAGCATGTGTATATGTGTGTTATATATGTGTTTGGGTAGATATATACTTTTTCTTGAGAGCAGGCAAACAGAATTTCATTTTTAACGTGGGCCAGTATGCTCACAGTAACAAAAATGACAATAAAAGTTATCTTTATCAGGCACCAGGTCTTATCTCATTTTACAAAGCGGAACGACTGAGATAGAACAACGGTTAAAGCAAAATTGTACCTACTTTTCTTGATGTGTGCAATAAAACGCACCCAGAGCCATCGCTTTCTGCTAAAAGAAAAAAAGAGAGAGAGAGAGAGAAAAGTTACTATTTGCTGATAGATGGATGGACTGAACTGTTGGCTGACCTTCATTTGGGGCAGCTTTGGTCTCAAGCTGTTCTATGCAAGGCCTCCTCTGATCCCAGAACAGCCCTGTGAGGTAGGGCGGGCTGAACAAGACCAGCAAAGCCTGAACTCACATTGTGGGGTTCACTGTATTATAGGGGTTTAAGCCTTTTCTTCCCCAATTTTATCTGTTATTAATAGTTCTTTCGCTACGGAAAGAAGAATGCAAATTTCGTTGAAACTCTCAAGCCGGCTTATATACCTGTGTTTTCCTGAAAATTAAGACCCTGCCTTATATTTATTTTGGCCACACACAAAAAAAGGCACTGGGTCTTATTTTCGGGAGATGTTATCCACTAACTAACCTCACTTGCGTGCATCGCCCCCTGGCCTCCTTTTCACTGTCAGAGGCCTTCAGGAGCTTCTTCTTCTGCGGCCGGGAAGGTTTTCCTGAAGGCCTCTACAGAGGATAACAGGAGCTCTGGATCGATCCTGAGCTTTGTTCTCAGCTACAGAGACCTTCAGGAAAGCCTTCCCGGTCTTGCCGGCTGCAGAAGAAATGGACCCGCAAGGCAGGTGTTGGGGTGGGCGAGGCCTGGCTACACCTGTCCAAAGGTAAGTAATAGGGCAGCTCCACACACACCCAAATCCCCACCCTAGCTTAATTTTTACCCGTCCACCCTGGAGTGGGCGGGATCTTCATTAGGGCTTATTTTGTGGGTGGTAGGGCTTATATTGAGTGCATGTGTAAAAATCAAGCTAGGATTTACTTTCAGGGTCGGTGGTATTTTTGGGGAAACAGGGTGTGTATGTAGACAGACAGATGTAGATATATATACACACATACATAAGTCTCTCTCTCTCTCATCTATCTATCTATCTATCTATCTATCTATCTATCTATCTATCTATCTATCTATC